CCTGGCCTGGAGGCCGGTCCATTGCCTAGCAGTAGTAGTAGTAGTAGTAGTAGTAGTAGTAGTAGTAGTAGTAGTAGTAGTAGTAGTAGTAGTAGTAGTAGTAGTAGTAGTAGTAGTAGTAGTAGTAGTAGTAGTGGTAGTAGTAGTAGTAGTAGTAGTAGTAGTAGTAGTAGAAGTAGTAGTAGTAGTAGTAGTAGTAGTAGTAGTAGTAGTAGTAGTAGTAGCAGTAGTAGTAGTAGTAGTAGTAGTAGTAGTAGTGGTAAACATAATGGTAATAGTGGTCGGACCCGTACTGGTAGTACTAACCGCACTAATAATACCGGTAGTGCGATTCGTACTAGTAGGAGTAGTCGTAATCGTAGTCGTAGCAGTAATGATTAACACTGATATCAGTAATTGTGATGGTAGTAGTAATAGTAGTCGTCGTCCTCGTAGTAACAGAACCAGGAGTACTATATAGTAGCACTTGTAGAATTAGTGGCATTAATCGTAGTAGTAGAAGTATAAGTAGAAGTAGAAGTAGTAGTAGTAGTAGTAGTAGTAGTAGTAGTCGTAATGATAGTAGTAGCCGTCGTGCTAGTAGCACGATTGGAAATAGTAGTGCTAGTAGTAGTGGTAGCGATAGTAGCAGTCGTCGTAGTAGTAGTAGCAGTACTATTCAAAAGTAGTAGTAATAGAAATAGTCATGGTAGTCGTAGTAGTAGTAGTAGTAGTAGTAGTAGTAGTAGTCGTCGAAGTAGTCGTCGTCGCATTGTTATTGTTATTATTACTATTCGTAGTAGTAGTAGTAGTAAAAGTAGTAGTAGTAGTAGTAGTAGTAGTAGTAGTAGTAGTAGTGGTGGTGGTGGTGGTAGTAGTAGTAGTAGTAGTCGTAGTAGTAGTAGTAGTAGTAGTAGTAGTAGTAGTAGTAGTAGTAGTAATAGTCGTAGTAAGTCGCAGCAGTAGCCACAGCAGCAGAAGCAGTAATAGCCGTGGCAGTAACAGAAGCAGTGGGAGCGGGTATGATTATAACATGAGTGCGAGGTGCACTAGCAGTAGCAATAGTAGCCGCAGTCGTGTCAGAAGAAGAAATAATAGTAGTAGTAATTGCAACATTACAAGCAGTAGTAGAAGTAGTAGTAGTAGCAATAGCAAGAATGGAAGTAAACGTAGTACTACTACTACGACACCGACTACTCGTACGAGTTGGCGTAGTAGTAGTAATGCGAGCTGTGCGGAGCAATCAGCGTAGTAGTAGAAGTCGTAGTAGTAGAAGTAGAAGTAGTGGTAGTAGTAGTAGTAGTAGTAGTAGTAGTAGTAGTAGTAGTAGTAGTAGTAGTGGTAGTAGTAGTAGTAGTGGTAGTGGTAGTGGTAGTGGTAGTGGTAGTAATGGTAGTACTAGTAGTTGTCGTAGTCGTAGTAGTAGTAGTAGTAGTAGTAGTAGTAGTAGTAGTAGTAGTAGTCGTAGCGGTAGTAGTAATAGTCGTAGTAGTAGTAGTAGTAGTAGTAGTAGTAGTAGTAGTAGTAGTACTAGTACTAGTAGTAGTAGTAGTAGTAGTAGTAGTAGTAGTAGTAGCAGTAGTAGCAATAGTGTTAGTAATAATAGTAGTCGTAGTCGTAGTGGTAGTCGCAGTAGTGGTGGTAGTAGTGGTAGTAGCCGAATAAGAAGTAGTAGTAGTAGTAGTAGCAGCATGAATCGTAGTAGTAGTAGTAGTAGTAGTAGTAGCAGTAGTAGTAGTAGTAGTAGTAGTAGTAGTAGTAGTAGTAGTAGTAGTAGTAGTAGTATTAGTAGTAGTAGTAGTAGTAGTAATCGTAGGAGTCGTAGTTGTCGTAGTAGTAGTAGTAGTAGTAGTAGGAGTAGTAGAAGAAGTAGTGGTAGTAGTAGTAGTAGTAGTAGTAGTAGTAGCAGCAGGTATCAGTGGTGGTAGTAGTAGTAGTAGTAGTAGTAGCAGTAGTAGTAGTAAATGCAAAAACAGAAACTATGCTGACGGAGTTCCCCACATAAAGATATTGACGGTTTCGTGGGACCCATGGGGTACGACAACATCAACCCGAAGGAGAAGCTCATCGAACGAGTAAGTACGCACGAAAGGGCAGACGAAAGAAAGGAGGAGGGAGGACAGGTGCTCAGGAAACGAAGCCTTGTAACAAAACGGTTTCTTGATACCCTCCTCGCTCTGGCGGGGCCCCGCTGGAAGTGGGGAGGGCTACGAAACCTTGTAGAGAGTAATGCTTTCCGCGACCCTCCTCGTTCAAGCGCGGCCTCTCTGGAGAAGTGGAGGGGGGACACGAAACCATGTAAACTGCATTGTTTTCCGATACCCTCCTGGAGGAGGAGGAGTAGGACACGAGATGGATAGGTCATGTTCTCCCCTCCTCCTCACCCATGCCAGTGGGAGGGGCACGAAACCATTTAAAGAGCATGGGTTTCCGATACCCTCCTCGCTCAGGCGGGGCCTCCCTGGAGGGGTGGGAGGGGCATGAAACCATGTAAATAGTATGGGTTTCCAATACCCTCCTCGCTCAGACGGGGCCTACCTGGAGGGGTGGGAGGGGCACGACACAATGTAAATAGCATGGGTTTCCGATAACCGCCTCGCTGAGGCGGGCCCCCCCCTGGAGGGGTGGGAGGGGCACGAAACCATGTAAATAGTACGGGTTTCCGATACCCTCCTCGCTCAGGCGGGGCCTCCCTGGAGGGGTGGGAAGGACACGAAACCATTTAAAGAGTGTGGATTTCCGATATCCTCCTCGCTCAGGCGGGGCCTCCCTGGAGGGGTGGGAGGGGCACGAAACCATGTAAATAGTACGGGTTTCCGATACCATACTCGCTCAGGCGGGGCCTCCCTGGAGGGGTGGGAGGACACGAAACCATTTAAAGAGTATGGGTTTCCGATACCCTCCTCGCTCAGGCGGGGCCTCCCTGGAGGGGTGGGAAGGGGCACGAAACCATGTAAATGGTACGGGTTTCCGATACCCTCCTCGCTCAGGCGGGGCCTCCCTGGAGGGGTGGCAGGGGCACGAAACCAGGTAAATAGTATGGGTTTCCGATACCCTCCTCGCTCAGACGGGGCCTCCCTGGAGAGGTGGGAAGGGCACGAAATCATGTAAATAGTATGGTTTTCCCATACCCTCCTCGCTCAGGCGGGGCCTCCCTGGAGAGGTGGGAAGGGCACGAAACCATGTAAATAGTATGGTTTCCCGATACCCTCCTCGCTCAGGCGGGGCCTCCATGGAGAGGTGGGAAGGGCACGAAACCATGTGAATAGTATGGTTTTCCGACACCCTCCTCGCTCAGACGGGACCTCCCTGGAGAGGTGGAAATGGTATTGATATGGGAGGCGGGAGGTGGGAGGGAGAAGGAGAGGATGTTCTGGGAAAACAAGAACCCCACTCAGGATGTGGGGAATTATAACAATCAAAGTAGCGATAGTGGTCGCAGTCGTAATAATGATTCGAGTAGTAGTAGTAGTAGTAGTAGTAGTAGTAGTAGTAGTAGTAGTAGTAGTAGTAGTAGTAGTAGTAGTAGTAGTAGTAGTTAGTAGTAGTAGTAGTAGTAGTAGTAGTAGTAGTAGTAGTAGTAGTAGTAGTAGTAGTCGTAGTAGTAGTAGTAGTAGTAGTAGTAGTAGTAGTAGTAGTAGTAGTAGTAGTAGTAGTAGTCGTAGTCGCAGTAGTCGTAGTCGTAGTCGTAGTCGTAGTCGTAGTAGTAGTAGTAGTAGTAGTAGTAGTAGTAGTAGTAGTAGTAGTAGTAGTAGTAGTAGCAGTACAGTAGTAGTAGTAGTAGTAGTAGTAGTAGTAGTAGTAGTAGTAGTAGTAGTAGTAGTAGTAGTAGTAGTAGTAGTAGTAGTAGTAGTAGTAGTAGTAGTAGTAGGTAGTAGTAGTAGTAGTAGTCGTAGTAGTCTAGTAGTAGTAGTAGTAGTAGTAGTAGTAGTAGTAGTACTACTACTACTACTACTACTACTACTACTACTACTACTACGACTACAACTACTACAACTACTACCAATAGTAGCGCTCGTAATAATAACATAAATGGCAAATGTTGTAATGATGTAGTGATCATCGTAGCGGTGATGCTAATAATGATGGCAGTGGTGGTGTAGTAGTGTAGTTGTGGTCGCCACATTTTCTTTTTCTCAGGCATCTTTTGGAGAGGGGGGGGGGGGGACGAGGGAGGGACGCGGACAGCCGATGGCCGATGCCTCCTCGCGTAGCAGTGCCCGGCTCCTGTCATCGAAGCGGCCACTCTGCGGCCAACAGTTCCGCCATAAAGTCAATCCACAAACTGCATGCGCACCCAAACGGCTTCCAGCCGTTTAGCAGTACCATTCGTACTGCAGTGAGCACACAAGTGCTGGTAGCAGTACCATTCGTACTTGGAACTTTGCTCGTGGCAATGCAAATTGAACTAATGACAGTCGTGGGTGTAGCAGTCGCAAATCGTTCGCCCCTGAACGCTTGTGGGAGGCCTGGAGGCTGACACCAACACCAAGATCGGCGGTGTATCTTCACCGAGGGAAGGTGCTCCCGATCTCGGCGATGGTAATATTAGTTTAGCTTCGTAGATGGCCGAAGTATTACCACCAACACCGAATTTCAGGATCATCGTTCCCCCTGTTGAGTCACGCCCGTGTGCTGGTGTTGGTGCACCTTTCCAAGCCTCCAAGCTTGCGGCTTCCCCGGGCAGCGCAGCCCTCCAACATCGGCCAGTTCCGGGCGACTGGTGGCGTTCTACCTTGAATGCCTCCGCTGGGGTCGCGGCCGAGTCGACACACTCCACAATTGGGTGTTGAAAACGCCGCACACTGGCGCGGCCTTGGCCCCACTGGCGTGGCCTTGGCCCCGCTGGCCGACATGCCCGCGTGGGCGGGGAGATCTGCGGCCAAGTGGGGTTGGGGATCATTTTATCAAACGTCGCTGATATTTGTTTATTGTTCAGCTGCCGAGTCCTGTCGGGGCCATATCCTGCGGGATGCCCGCGCGCAGCCCTCCTCAGCCTTCTCCCCGGTGCCCTCGCCGCCTCAGAATGACGAGGCCTCCGAGTGCTCGGAGACGGCCTTCGGAGGACGTCAATTCCACAACTGCACCGGTCATGCTCCATCCCGAGCCCAAGATCGGTTCACTCGCTCACGCCCTCCAGGCCTGGGTTTCTCAACCCGAAATCCGAAGCTGTGAAAAACAACAAGAGCGTGAAAACGCCGTCGGACGTCTCGACGAATCTCTGAGCGGCATGTCCCGAGCCGGGTCAATATGTGAGGTCCCTTGGCCTGGAGGGTTGCCAGAAGAGCTCGTCGGGCCAAATGTGGGTCGAATCGTGGAATCGGATCCACTCGGCAACGGGTCAGATCGCGTTTGGATCTTCGCGGACTCGGATCGGAATCGAAAAGCTTGGGCTCGTGGACGGACTCGACCCTGGCAGCCCGGAGAGGGGCTCGGTCAGCGCGGGATCGGACCGGGTCGAGATCGGAATCGCATCGGAACTAACCAAACCAAGTCGCGAGCACGAATCGACTCGAAACGCCGAAGTCGGGAAATCGAACCGTGGGATGAACCGTCTGACGAAAAGAGCACGTCGTGAGCACGAGCCGTGGGAAGAAAGCACGAGCCGCTGGCAACGTCTGGGTATCGAGGCGGATCGAACCACGTCGTGAGCGGCTCCGCCCGTCATGGCCTCTTCGCGACGCCTGGGCCCCGCGGGCGTGCGCCAACCCCGTGCCGCCCTCCGGGGGGTGGGGGGGGCGGTGGGAGGTGGCCTCTTGGGTGGGGCTCCCCGTGGGGCCGCGGAGCGTGCGAGGGGCGCGCAAAGTGAGGTGTTGACGGGAGGAGGGTGGAGCGGGAGGAAGAGGAGAGGGCTGGAGGAGGAGGAGGAGGATAAGGATAAGGATAAGGGATAAGGCCCTCGGAGGTCAGTGGTCACAAACCTTTAGCGCAACTTGGGAGGTCCCCTGGGATTCATATGGAAGCAACCCTTCTAATCGACCTTTGTCGGCCCGAGGAACTGCCTGGAGCTAGGCGATGCGGAGGGCTGCCTACGCGGGCCCCCCGTGTCGCTGCCCCGTTGCTGGGGCCCCTGCGGAGGAGGAGGAGGAGGAGGAGGAGGAGGAGGAGGAGGAGGAGGCGGGGCCGTCCCTTCAAAGCGAGGACCCAACGCCACAGGATGCTTGGGAAAACGCATCGAAAGGATCAAGGGGGGGGAGGGAGAGGATGGAGAGGGCAAGGAGGACGGAGAAAGAGGGGGAAGAGGGGGGTGAGGAGGCCGGGGAAAAGGGCAGAGGTGGCGAGGAGGGAGGAAGGACAGAGTGAAAGTCGGCAGCGCCACACGGGGGGGGGGGTCATCGACGACATTGCTCTGGGGGGGGGGCTGATTGAGTGATGGTGCGGGAAAGCGGTAGCAGCGCACCCCACGACATTGCACCCCATCACCCGCCCATTTGTTCCACCGGATTTTTGTCGAGAGCCTTCCCCGAGCCTTCAGTGCAATGCCGAGTCACAGCCCACGCACCCTCCCCACCCAGACGGCGTGCCCAGGGTCACTCGCAAAATCACGCGCGCATGATTTTGCGAATGAAATCCAGACTCGTGAATTAAGCTCACGCGCGGGCGCGGCTGAGTTGCGACCGCCCACGCGACGCGAGAGCAGCCAAATACTTTGCGCTCTCGGCGTCCAACCTGGCGTCATCTCCCCGCGGGCCCTCGCGGTTGCTGCGCGTATGGTGCCGGCGCGTGTCCATCCATGTACAGCACTCTGGTGACGTCCACAGATATCCCGCGGGCACAAGACCCACCAAACCCATGATGCCCCGAGTGATGCCCGCTCCTCCTTCGAACAGCTCAGCACGCGCAGTGGTGCGTGGGATGTTATGTGGATATTGCACCGAGTGCTTTATGGCAGCTGCCAAGGTGATCAAGCCACGCCCTGACGTGCTGCACGAAGGGGCCGCCGCCTCACCAAATTGAACGGCATTCGTGGACGCCCATTGAACACCAACTGGGCGGGGCTGGCGATGGCCGCTCGCCGCCGCTAGACACGCAAGGGCTGCAATCCACGAGCATCGAACCCACGAAACTGTCGAACCATGACCACGACGGTGCAACCAAATGCTTGGGATCGACTAAATATGCCTGCACATCAAAAAGCGTGTGTTCTTTGCGGGAGAAGCCCCCTCACGACAGCAGAAAAAATGCCCTGCAAATTGCGACTGAAAAATTACTCGCCCAAAATGTCGAATACAGCCCCAGGGCCCTTTACCAGAAAATCTGGGTCAGCGCAACATGCGACGGTGTTCGCTTGTTTGTTTCGGCGATTTGCCGCCGCCCCCCACCGTTAAGACACGCGCTCAACCCAGCTTACTCCGCGCCGCCTCCGCCCGCGCCCCAGCCCCCTGCCAAGCAGGGCGTTCGCCGACGCTTCCGAGCTGCATCAAGCCGATGCGGCGCCTAGGCGCCTAGGCACTTGCCGCTCCGCCGCGCCCCTGCGACCGGCTTCCGACCGCGGGGGCGCGGCTTGGCGACGGGGCCAGCCAAGGGCGGACGTCGGGAGGGAGTCGTCGAGAAGGCGCCGAGGGGGCAGGGGGGGCAGTGGGCGGAAGGCTGATCGGAGGGCGAGGAGGGAAGGAGGAGGAGGAGGATAACACGTTTCTCCCACATAGGTCCGATGCACCCTGCGCGCCGATGGAAAGTGCGTTGGCGTGACGTGAGCCTGATCCCGCTAGCGATGCAGCATAATGCGCGGCTGCCCAGAGCACGCCTCGTCTTGAACATCGCAGCGGGCGAAGGGGCTGCACCCGATGAGCGCGCATCCGCGGCTCGCGTCGCGAGCGCGGGGCCCGCGCAGACAAACTTGGCCCCGAGCGAGTCGACCCCGCCGCGCTGGCAGAGCGAAGGAACTACAAACCGCAGCGCGATCGAAACTCCGATCCGCAAATAATTGAATAGAGAGAGGTCGCTGCCCATGGGCACCCTTGACTCCTCGTGCAACGCGCGCCCCTCCCCCCTCTGAAGAGACGCCAAACCGCCAAGAATGCGGCGCGGCGCCGGGGGCACGCTGACTCCGCATTGGACACTCAGCCGCGCGAACAAAGACGCCAACGCAGATGCGACGGCGCGAATTGCCCCCCACCCGCACACCCTCGGATTCGCCCATCCGCACTCCCGCGTGGCTCATCCCATCCTGGTCATTGTGTAAATAGATTTCGACTGATTGTTAGGGTGCGCGTCGAAAGCTGACTCGGTCGAACCGTCGGCGCCGACGTTCGCGCGTGCTCCAACGATCACCTCGGGATCGGGTCCGCGCGGTGACCCCCTCCTATGCTGCAGGGCCCTTTCGACGTCGCGCGAGGATCAAACGCTCATGTGGGTTGGGGCCCCGAAGGAATCCACGAGGCGATGCGAATGGGCGGATCGAGATGGATGGAATGGGCGGGGCGGGAGAGCGCGCGTTGGAGGACACGGAGGGCGGGGTGCGAGGGAAGGGTCGGGAGTGGCCAACGTGCACTTGATTGCGCCCGCGTCGACATGTGAGTTGCGAGCGACGCCCCGATGTCGAATGATGGCGGGAGTGCGATCAGCGGGTCTAAGGAAAAGCCAATGCCGCTGGCCTGGCCAGCTGCGCGATGACCTCGAGTTGCCCCTTCCTCTCCCCAGTGGCGGGGGCAATGGAGGTTTGGGCGAGAAGATTTCGCGTCTACGCGACGCTGGCGACGGGGTGGGTGGGCGTGTGGGTGGGCGGGGTGGGGGGGGGAGGGCGGCGCTGCCTGCCGAGCGCAAGGTCGATGCCCATCGCCTCGCCCGTGAGTTCATGGACGGCGGCGCGGGCGCGGCGCGAATGCGAATCTTCAGCTCGTCAAGCGATGGGGGGCGTGCGCGCGAACTTTTCACGCGCGCCGCTTGCCCCTCAACGCGACGAATACAAACAGGGAGCGAGGGGTCGCTCGGCCCTTCCCCCCCGCGCCGTTCGCGCTCGCCGCGGCGCCCCGCGCACGGGCATCGGATTCGAGCCGATCAGCCGTTATCAAACTAGGCTCCCGCAAGATTCTTGCGCCCCCATCCCCGATCCCTCCATCCCCCAATCCGCCCGCGCAAACATGCTCCATCGATTGGGTCCACCCCTCCGTCTGTGGCGGTCGACGCTGCACATTGCTGCGCAGCCGTATGTGTGACGCACATTTGTACATGTATCACTCGTTGCCTGTGCGAATGGCGCGTGCAATTGTCATCATTCATGCACATGAACATTGCGCTCTCTCTTTCCCTCGCGCTCGCTATCCCTCGCTCTCAAGTATGTGTTGTTTCTCTATGTCTCTGTCTGTCTGTATCTCTATCTATATATATATCTCTCTCTCTCTGTTTCTCTGTCTCTCTTGTTCTCTCTCCCTCTCTCTGCCCCCCTCTCTCTAGTATTCTCATTATCTCACTGTTGTTGTTTCTCTTTTTTGTTTCTCTCTCTCTCTCTCTATATATAGATATATAGATATGCATAGCTACATCTTCCGTGGGCGAACATATGCAGGCATATGGATACGCACATGTACACATAGTCCCGATGTGCGTTGTAATTTATATGCGCTGAAGTTGCCCACTTCTACATCCACCGCCCACTACCTGAACCGCACCGCAACGCGCCTGCCAATCTATCCCTCGGCAACCCTTCAATGGGCGCCCAGCCGCAGGCGCGAGCATGCTCAAACAACACAAACAGTGCGCCCCGGAAATTGCAGCCGAAACACTTGCCCAGCCTTTGACATGATAAAGGTCCTAGGCGGCGGCCTGCACTAACGCCTTTGGCGGGGCCCTCCTGCCAGCGGCCCAGGATTGGATGCAAATCGGCATCGCGTGTTCATGTGCCTGGGACGAACCGACCGTCGTTCAAAAGCACGCGCAAGTCGGCAGCGATGGCCCGCCTCATGGCGGGCCCAAGGAACAGCGCGCGCAGCGCATCGACAGCCAACGAGGTGGCTGGTGAAGAGCGCAGTTCTACCTCGAAGATCGGGTTCCTGAAATTGAAAAGTCCACGATACTTGGCTGATCCGACCCGTCGCGCCGAGCGCGCAAGGAACAA